ATTTGGTCCTGATGATTAATCTGTTATCTTAGGAGGGAATGATGGAGCAGATGAAATGCAATTAACTATATAATATGAAGTTGTTGGAGAAAATAAAAGTCAAAATAGTAAACCAAAAATTCAAACTAAGGCAAATTATAAAAGTAAAATGTAAGATGATTATTATTATGAGAATGAATAAATTTAAAATAATAATAACATTTAATAAGCTGAAAAAAAGAAAGTTATTAAGGTTTAGCCTGATGTTAAAGTAGCACCTGATTAATTTAATTCTTTGACAAATGAAAAAGTGTATGAATTAAAATGCGCTAAAGTAGTAATACTATAACATTTTTACAATTTTTCAATTTATGATAAAAAAGAAAAGAAATTTGAAACTCATGAATCAAAGTTAAGAAGATTGACTTGTTCAGATATAAATAGAGATTCAACTTTGATTGCCTTTGGTGGAGAATAAGGAGAATTAATAGTATTTAAAATCTCACAAATAGATTCATGTTTTAGTTTGCTAGGTCATAAAGAGCATGTTTCTCAAATTTAGTTTTCAACTGATGGAAAACAATTAGTATCATGTTCTTGGGATAAGACAATAAGATTATGGAATATTTAATAGTAATCTTAAATAAGTTAAACAGGTTTCATTTTAAAACCTAAAGTATATTCATTATGTTTAGTTAATAATTCGACTTTGGCTTTAACAGGTTTTGCAGAAGGATTGGTATAATTATGGGATTTGGAAAATTCAGATTCTAAAATTGATATAAATAAAGGACATTAAGCTGAAATAACTTGTGCTATATTTTCATTTGATGGTAAATATATAATTTCAGGATCAGTGGATAGGGTGATAAAAATATGGAATACTAAAAATGGATTATAAGAAGGGTAAAATCTTATCAAACACAATTAAACTATACTCTCTTTGGCCATATCTGATGATTCATAATTATTGTGTTCAGGAAGTTTAGATGGATATATATATCTATGGGATTTTTCTAGTTAAAAATGTAAAGATGAAATTAATCTTTTTGGAAGTTGGCCATTAAATATCAAAATTATAAAATATAATGATCAATTTCGAATTTTGACATAAACAAATGAATCAATCGTTCAATTATGGTAAGAAAGTCTTTAGGAATATTATTTACTATATGATTATGCAGATTTAAATAAAAGAATTATTTCTGGTTCAGAAAATAGATAATTACTTTTAGAATCCAAAAATTTTAATACTTTTGTGAGAGAGTTTAGAAGTATTACTTATGATGCTTTAAAAGATCATAAAATTACATCAATAGGAGCTAGTGTTGATGGTTTAACTAAGTTATTAGGAACTGACAAAGGAATATTATTAGTTATTAAACCTGATTCTAGATCAGAATAAAAATCAACATAATTACATCAACCTATTTCTATAATTAAAACTTTGAATTCAAAATATTTTCTTACGGTATCTTCTTTGAATATATTCGTGTGGAGATTTTCTGATTTTACTTTAAAACATAATCTTTTAACAGAAAATAGAATATTAAGTGATATTTTAGTGGCTGGGGACTATTTCTTTTGTGCAGGAAATTTGATAGAAATTTGGGGAGTTTCATAATAATTCAAAGTATTAAAGAAACTATTTTGTCCAAATAATACTGTATTATCAATTGCTTATGATTTAAAAACAAATTACATTTATGCAGGAATGAAGAATGGTAGCTTATTTATTGTGAATTAAATTACAGATTCATAAAAATAAATAGATTTAGCTCATACTGGAGATATTAAAACTACTTAATGGTTATCGAAAAAAAATCTACTATTAACTGGAGGAGATGATTTCAAACTTAAACTTTGGAATTCAAATTTTGAGGTTATTAGAGAAGCCAGTATTTTTAATTCTCTATAGTAAACTTTTATTTCAAACAATGAAATTTACATGATTGTTTAAGAAGCAAATAAATTAAGTATTTGGGATTTAGAATAATTGGAATTAATTGAGGATATTGTAACCATTTAAAAGTAGGCTAAAGTTATTTTAATTAGAAATTCCTAATAAGTGTTTTGGACCAATGAATAATAAATTTCTATGATTCCTATCATGAATAAGAAAATTTAATCATCTTATATGTTGGAAAAACCATCTCATATTCCTGAATTCATTGAAACTACTGAAAATAATATAATTACAGCAGATAGAAAAGGAAATTTATTTATGTGGGATTTTGATGGTGAAAAAATTGGTGATAAAAAAATGGACAAATATAATGAATTAAAATATATTCATTTATCTAATGATTAAACTAAGCTTGTTTTAGCATTTAAAAATCTTATTACTATTATTGATTTAAAAAATTAATAGGAAATATTTAATAAAGATTATCAAAACTATGAAATAACAAGAGCATTATTTTTGTATAATAATGATTTAGTTATTGTCACTAATTCTACTTAATCATAAGTTATAATATAATCAATTTAAGATTAAAAAAAAGAATTAATTATTGATAATCATATTGGTAAAACTTTGGGAGCCGCAACTCATAACCAATGCTTTTTAACTTATGGTTCTGATTAAGCAATCAGATATTATGTTGAATAATAATCATGCAAATTTGTTTTTTCATCATAACTTAGATTTGAATGTGAACGAGCCTAAATTTAAAACAGTAAGATTACATTCAAATCCAGAGTTGATCTTACAGTATTATTTAAGCAGAAAAAAGCTATTTTAGAATGAAAAAATAAATTGTTATATTTTTATATTAATAATTGCTTATATTAAAATGTAGGAATCTCATTTCATTAAATCTACT